CTCATCTTTCTACGCTACCATTACATGGGTGGTAACATGGGTTACTGAAATTTTGAAATGGTTCTAGGATAGCCAATATACATTTGCTGCTAAGTAGGGAATTAGGGGATAGCTATACGAAGGTGGAACCTAATTGATCAGTCTTAATGCAGCTGGCCATGCTTGCATCTAATAATGTGAAACTGAATGAGCAAAATGGTTTGGGATTTCGATGAGTAACAGATGTCAGCATAATTTAACATGATATGACCACTAACATAGTGATTTTTAACATGAATGATGTTATTTTAATCTCAGAACTTATTCCCATGGATTGACATGAATTCCGTTAGTAATTTAGTTTTTTTTGCTTATGTTCTGCTTCACTTGTAAAGTTAACTGTTTATTGCATTTGATTATTTTGGTGAAGTTCATAACAGGTGACCTCCTACCCCATGTGATCTCTAGGAATACAAGGCTGTCCTTGTGAAAAGAGTTCAGCAACTGCGTAATCTGAGGCATCAACCAAGTCAAGTCACTGTTCTGGTTCGACAAATTCCTTTATGTGATGAACACAAGGCATTTAGCTGCAGTGTAGATCATTTCTTCTCCAAATATCACCCTCATGCATATCATTCATATCAGATTCTATACACTGCAAAGCATCTTGAGGTACTGTATATATACCATGCTCAAACATCATAGATGTGCATGCATTCATATGTATTCCGTGTTCAAATGGTTATTGTACGAGCCTATGAGTGTAATTCACATCTTGTATAAATCTCATGGAGTTTTCTCTGTCTTTTGTTTACTTGGGGCCATGGTTTTTCGCAAGTCAATTTTTTTGACAAGCAAGTACATCAAAGACTCAAACAGCAGATCTAAGAACTCATGGCCTAACTTTTGTTTGGTTTCCTAATTTCTGGACTTGCATTGAAAAGGCACTTGTCAGACAATATTCATTCGATTATGTAGGATAGACAATGGAGAACACAATACTGGTGCTTCATATTACTACACTTTTCAGCTCCTTCTCTTTACATGCTACGAGAACATACAAAGAAACGCTAGACGTCTATATTACACTTCCAACAATAGCAAACAATAGCTGAGAGTACTTTGTTGTAATTACAATTGGGATCTGAATGACTAACCAGACCAAGGCTCCCCTTTCTTGCTTTCTCTTGATTTCTTTCTGGTGGATATATTGCCTTGCAGTTTCTTTTGTGACTGTCATCTTGGATTAATTTAGGCTAGTGAAGTTGGTGGAGGATGAATAGTCATTTAGTATGATACAATCTCTCAATTCCGTAATCCTATATACAACAATTGAAAGATGGGTCTCCACAATGGATACCACAAGAATTGAAAAGGTCAGTCAATTGCAAGAGGATGAGAAGTTGTATATCTTTTGTGCCATCATGATCACCAAGTTGCTTATTTTTATGAATGCACGAAACACACTTGAGTTAGATTGTCATTTTGTTCAAGAAAGGAGGTCGGCACTTCCCATGAGTTGCCTCTTTCAAGCTAGTCCAAGTATGCTTAGAAGATACTGTGGCAGCCATCCTGATGAAGTCTCCAAATGGATCACAGATTAGCCCTATATGTAACAAGTTGGGCATGATTGACATATATTCTCCAAATTGAGGAGTGTTAAGAGGCATAGGGAAATTATTATCTTTAAGTTAGTTATATTCATCTTTATCATGCAAATAGGCTTATTGTTTTCTCTTGTACTCTATATAAGAACTGTTTGATTATTGAATATGTTGAGCAACATGGATATCACTTTATTGTTTCAGTAAATATTTTATGAAAAAACTGCTGCTGACGAAAAGGAAATCTATGAACTTGCATCTGTTGATGGAAATCATTTGCTTAGTTAGCTGCTACATTGTTGCTGAAAGATAACTCTGCTGATTGACCATCATCTGCAAATCTGTGATTGTTGGTTCCAATTGTATGACACCAGGAGACCAAACCAAACGAGCATAGTGTATCCCACCCTGAGGTTGGGTCCGGTTGGAATGCATGCAAATCTGTCATCTACCCCAGAGAGTAGAGCGACTCTTTCCGTGAAGACCCCCTGGCTTGCAAATAACGTGTGCAAGAAAGAAAGCTTGCCTACAAAGTTTGAACTTTGAACAATTTGAGAAACGAGAAGGAATGCAAATTTCAAAGAAGAATCAAGGCTAGAGAGGAAAGTTGGAAAGAACTAAGGGTAGAGAAAAGCAAAGAGCACCATAAATAGAAGTAGGCAAAAAAAACATATTGAAGGTAAGACAGCTACACAACCCCTAGTCTAACTGGTAGCCTATCTCCCTGCTCACTACCCTACCCCCCCCCCCCCCCCCCCCACCTCTATCTCTCGAGCTTCCTTCCTCCAGACACCAGGAGACAATCTTTATAATAGCCTGATGCATTAATGATCACATTGATGATTGTGGCTGGAATGTCAAAAATATTAACAACTACCGGCTGCTCTAGCTAATGCAACCATGTTCTCTTATTTGGAGGCATGGCTGTAGAGACTGTCTTGCAGAGTTATTGAAGTTTGAAATCTCGGAACAAAGTGGGAAGTTAGCAAAATTTCAAGTAGTACCTTTTGATTCATTTCTGTGTGTAATCGATCTCTTCAACAAATGGTTAAAGTATGAGTGGACTAATTGGGTAATGCAAGTCTGAGATTCAAACACCAGAGCAGTTAAGATGGTTACTATGTGCATACAAGGAAGACATTTGTGATGGTTCATTACATGAATGAAAAGTACTTATGAGCACATAACTGATGACTTTTTTCTAGATTTGAAGTAGCAGTCTGAATTTGAAGGATGTGCATGAGTAAATCACGAGAATTTTTTTAGTGGCAATGCAATTAGTAGTGGTGGTTGTGGTAGGGCTTATTTGTGATGGTTCTGAGGATCAAATTTACAGGGCACACAACAACCAACTACATACTGAGACTGCCTGCAAGAACTGCTACTGGAGAAGAGGTTCAAGCGGATTTCTTTTGCTTACTTCACTCCATGGCCATCAAGATATTAGTTCCTCTTCCATCTTCTTCAATAGTAACTTGTCTGAAAGAAAAGTATCTACATATTGCTTTTCACCATGATATTTAGTTTTTGAAAGTTACACTCTTGCATCTGTTTGAAATTATAGTTTGCTTATTGTCATTGGATGGGTGCTTACCATTTTGCATTAAATTCTACGCTGTATACATGACCTTCTATTTCACGTGTGCCCAGGATAGTTGATAGACAGTTTCAATCTACCATATTAATCACCATTTAGTTTGTACTTTGTAGGAGTTGCCCGTTGCTTTTGTCGCATTTAGGTCTCGATGGGATGCTGCCCTTGCTTCCCAAACACAGCAGCATCCAAATCCATTATTGTGGATCACTCAGATGGCCCCAGAACCTAGAGACGTGTTGTGGAAGAATCTGTCAATCCCTTATAAGCATTTGGTACTTTACAGAACTGGGGTATTTGTAGCAGAACTTCTTTTCACTATATTCTTTGCTATTCCAGTTACTGCGGTCCAGGGGATAGCACAGTTCGAAAAGCTGAAGAAGTGGTTCCCTCCAGCCATGGCTGTGCAATTAATGTAAGATTCCATGAATCTGTACCTCTGTTTGCTGTATGTGTTTTCATCTAACCGAAAATATGTTGGCTATATAGATTTCTTTTCAAGAGTGGCAACTGAATATAATAAAAATATATATGTCTGTTTCTAGTGTATGTATGTGTGTGTCAGGAAGTTTCAAAATTCAGAGGGCCTAGTGTTTATTCATTGGCATACAGCCCAGTAGTTCATGGGGAATAATACTGTTACTTCCTGAACCTGCCCAAACTACAGCAATCTACACTCTCAGTTTATTTGTGATAGGCACAACTCCTAAACCTGCTCTGAAGACCTAGTTTGTTATCCTGTCCAATGTGGTCCGGGCACAGCCACTATTGCGTCCTTATTTTTGCAAATTTCGGCTTCCTCTCATGCGCTATCTCCATTGCCCAACACTCAGACCCATACATCATAGCTGGTCTGGTGATCAGCCTGTAGAATTTGCCATCAGTCTTAAGAGGACCTTCTTGTCAGTTGTCAGAGAGCGACACACCAGATATATGTGGCTACCCTCCACTTTAACCACCATGCCTTTATACGGTATGTAGCATCATCCTCGACCTCTCCCTCAAAGTGACTCTTTCTTGATCTTCATAGTCGATCTTGAATGTGATGGCCAAATTTCTTCCTCCTATGAGTCGTTGAATGGTGTATGTCATGATAACAAGCCATGTCATTGTGCCTCATCAAGTTTGGGAACTCTCCCATTTATTATTGGCGAGCATAGATAACAGAATTTACAATTTTCTTCACTCTCTTTTAACGAAATTTATTGCAATGTATGTGCGTGTGTCGATGTGTCTATTGAGCTGGTGCTTCATCTTCTATTTAAAAGACAACTGATGTTGTCTATTAAATTACTTGTACATTTCGTAGTTGCTAGTTTCTGTTGGTGTATACTCTTTTCCATTCATTCAAAATAGTTTGTTTTCCACAGACCAGGATTGAGCTCCGTTATTACAGGATATCTTCCAAGTGTCATTCTTAGTGGGTTTGTATATATTGTGCCTTATGTTATGAAAGTAATGGCGAGGGTAGCAGGTTACGTTTCAAGAAGTGAACAGGAACAGAAGGCTAGCAGCATGGTTTTCTACTTTTTGATGGGCAACGTCTTCTTCATGAGTGTGTTATCCGGATCTTTGCTTGATCAGATCGGGAAATCTTTCATCAACCCACGGGATGTACCAAGCCGGCTTGCAAAGGCTGTCTCTGTCCAAGTGAGTGGTCTGACTTCTTTTATCTCTCTCGGTTCTTTTGGCTTTTTACTCAGTTTTCCTATATTTGGATCCAGAACTTAGTTCATTGATTGTCTAATCTCTCTTTCTCATGATTTCTTGTGTTCTTTGAATGGTGGAGGATCTTTGATTTGGCAGATAAAAAAAAATTACATTACATGCTTCATTTCATTGTATTAATTACCAAAACAAAATATCTGTTTTAGCTACCAAATTACCTGAAGGTTAGCACTTTCTGAATCTAGATCTTATGCTTGTCACATAGCTGATCCTTTTCTGTCTTTTTGGCAAGCTTCTGTATAGTTTCCAGATTTACATTAAATAGTCTAGAAGATTCAAGTTTTATTTTTCTTTCTTTTATTCTGTTCAGGGAGACTTCTTTATGACATACATCCTGACGAGTGGGTTGTCTGGATTCTCTCTGGAGATTCTTCAGCCTGGATTACTTACTTGGGATACTATGAAATTGCATACATGGGGCCGAGGAAAAAAGAAAACCAATTATCTTTATTCGTTCCCTTATTATAGAGTTCTTCCCTTTGTAGAACTCTTTGTTCTTGTTGGTGTTGTATACGCAGTCATTGCACCATTGCTTCTTCCATTTCTAGTCGTTTACTTCCTTCTAGGCTATGTGGTATTCATCAATCAGGTTTGAGCTCCTCCATATAACACCCTGTTTCTTACTACAAATATTATTCATCTCATTTTACATGATTAAGAACTTGTGCTTGATCTCAGTGCTGTTGGTTCCTCTCAACTGAAATGCAGCATAGAGTTGAACATAGTAAAATAAGAAATGACTTTCTTTATAAAATTTTCTAATTTATGAATATAATTTAATTCGTGACGATCATTACCTTTAGTATGGCATTTTGCGGTTTAAACTTCGCAATTTGTTGGTTGTAAAAATGCTTGTTGATATATCACCAGAATTTGGACAATAGAATATTAGATGACCTTTAAGATCAAGTTGGGTGTGCTCGATTTATAAAGTTAATAATTACAGAACTCTTTATCCATTCCAAGATTTCTTTGTGCTACTAAAAGCCTATTCAACAGCCCCATGAATAAATAAAATAGATATAGAATCCGAGGACAATTTTTAATAGTGTAACGCCCCAAATCCTAAATGGGTGCCATTACTTTCTTTTGATACTACTAAGTCATGTATGAACTAAATTTGACTTTTTTTTCTTTCATAATTTACGATTATATCAGAGTCAAAACATCAACGGAAACGTAACTCAATAAGTTATAACAAAATTTGCTATTGATTAGAATAGTATTTCTTCATGCTGTCCCTCTTTACTGCTTCCCTAAGATACATACATGGAATATGTAACTAAAAGATCTATTGAGTAGTTATGGTTTCACGAATAAACAATTTTCATAATACTTATCAATTTGTGAATAACAATTCACTAAAACTCTTTATCATGCATAAAAATACTTTTTTAAAATCTCACTTGCTACATGTAAGAATGCCATACTTGCCTTGAGGTTTGCTAACCGAGAGCCTAGAGGTCCATAAAGGCTGCTCCATAAGCTCTTTGCAAGACGTCCCTTCTTGTAATATCTCATATGTTGGATATTTATGGTCAACATAACATGTATAAAACTTCCATGCCTATGTGTAAAACATATCATAACATTCCATCATACATATATCTTCACTATATAAACATATCATCATTTCATGTAAAGCAAACATGCTAAAACATCTTATCAAATTCTTCATAATACATAAAATACACTTATATAGCATATATGTATCTCATAAATCTCATAACATACTCACCTTGATTGCGCCTACCTTTTCTTTGGATTTCTTACTTCTAACTTGGTAAGGTATTGAGAGGGTGATTTGGTATGGAAATAGTGCTCTCATTTCAACCACTATTTATAGGTGAATACAACGCATTAACTACTTATTCTTCTTGCTCTCATAGTTGTACTCTTATGAGAGTTTAACACCTCATGCTTAAGATAAAAGAATCTTGACACATCATACTTCTAGCATTTCGTTGTCATGCTTATTAGACTTGGCCTGTCATCAAATAGTTTTGCCAACACATACTTCTAGCCCTTACAACTCATACTCGCTTGTTTTATCATGCTTATTAGACTTTGCTTTGTTATCAAATTGCTTTGCCAACACATACTTCTAGCCCTTACAACTCATACTAGCTTGTTTTATTATGCTTATTAGACTTTGCTTTGTTATCAAATTGCTTTGCCAACACATACTTCTAGCCTTTACAACTCATAACTAGCTTACTTTATCATGTTCACTAGACTTGTTTTGTAATCTATTTAGGTTTGTTTTGTCATCTATTTAGGTTTGATTTCTCATGCTTTGCCTTGTAAGCTACTTGCATTGAAAATATGATGATTTTATAGATGCTACAGCTGCTGGAACCTTTTTAGTGCACATAATTTTCTCATAGTATTTGCATCCAAGGCTTGAACTTTACAATCTAACAAATATAAAACTAACAAACAGCAACAATGAAAGACACTTTTGTAGTATTTCCAAGGGAGACACTGTTATGTGAAATGAAGAAAGCAGTTGTAGTTTGAGTAGAAGTTTAGAACTAGTAAGATTTGTTACAGAACACAGTAGCTATAAAACTGAGTGTGGATTGGGGGAGACACTGATCTAAGCAATGGACATCTGAAGGTTATTAAATCACATGATTAATCTTTGATGTTCTATCCCTTATCAGAGATTTCTCTATGGAAGTCGAATTGAAGTTTGAAGAGGGGGTGGAGCAGTCCTCGGCCCGTATAGAGGGGAGGATTTATTCAATCACATTAGTTTGGGCTCGTAGAATAAGGCTCCTGTTGGGATTTCTGTTTGCTTAAAGGTCATGATCAATGGAACTTAATAGATCCATGAGATACTCTGTAACAGTCCTTCTGGGAATGCACCTCTAGAAATTTCTAGCGGTTGACCGACCCTCAACAAATTTAACTTTATGGATATTGTTGGAGTCCCAGATCAGCTAGACACAGACCATCAAACTTGTATGTAGCAGGTGCCTCCCCTCTTTCTATAAGGGCTCTATTAGAGAGATTAAAAGGGATTTCACATATCCTCACATGGTATCAGAGTCGCGGTTTACCACATCTAGGAACTTGATACACTCTTCAGCCTCCATTCTAGGGGGGGCGTCTAGCCTCTGTTTGAGGGGACGTCTTGAAGTCCCACATCAGCTAAACAAGGACCATCAAACCTGTATATAAATAGGGACCTCTCATCTTTCTTTAAGGGCTCTTTTAGAGAGAGTTCAAAGGTGTTTCACATCCTACAGTTTTTATCAGTTTGTAATATGATCATGTTCATTACACTTATAGATGATAATTTTAATGAGTTAGGCTACTCGTATTCGCATATCACCCGAAACCTGTCAACTGGTAAATGTTCTTCTCTAGCAGCATAACACAACCATAAATTTTATCAGCCCATGAGCTATGAAACTCTGATAAATTTTCTTATTTTCAATTTCGGTAACCATGATGTTATACAAAAGAAAGCTCTACCCTTTGGGATAGAGGACAAGTCTCCTTACATCTTACCCACAGACCTTACTTTTGAGTGAGATATATGGAGTTGGTTTGGTTTATGATGTTCTAAAATTTTGTGCCCCTTAATTGGGTCCCTCATGGTAGCTGATCTCTTTTCTGATTTTCCAATTTTATAGAACACATTACTTTTTCAAATTTGCATCAACTTGACTGCTATAATTTCATAAATGATTACTAAGTCTGAATGTATCTTTATTATAAGTAGATACTGTGTTCATTTAGCTATTTTATTTGGTATGGTAGATTTAATGCTAACCACATAACGTGTATTTATACAGATGCACGATGTGTATGAAACTACATACGAGACCTGTGGCCAGTATTGGCCACACATTCACCATCATGTTGTTCTAGCCATCATTATCATGCAAATCACCATGATCGGTCTCTTTGGACTGAAGTCAAAACCCTCTGCATCTATCGCAACAATTCCGCTCCTTGTTGTAACCGTAGCTTACAACGAGTATTGCAAGTTCCGTTTTCTTCCTACATTTTACAAATGCTCTGTCCAGGTATGGTTGATTCACAACTCTGATCATTCCTATCAGTTTTATAAGACAAAAAATATGTCTAAATGTCGTAATAGACTAATTTGTAGGACTTGGGTTTATATGACCAAACAATTATGGTCATGTGTAAAGGTGTTATAATAGGTTTATAGGATGTATTTGGACGCCATAATAAGTTTTTTATGACACTTTTGAATTGAAGTGTCATTATCTTTTCTTATATGACACTTTTGAGAAGTGTCTTATAAACACATCTTTTTACTAGACACTTTTTCAAATAATATCATAAACTTTTTAATAGAACTTTTTATTTTAAAAGTGGCCTACAAAAACTTGTTAGGACACCAAAAAATGTCTTATCAACTTATTAGAACACATTTAATATGATGCATGATTGTTTGGTCATATAAACTTAAGTCCTATAAAATAGTCCATTATGACATTTAGGGGTTGTTTACCAAACTCTTACCCGGGTAAGCACTCACCGAGCATCACTTACCTTACTGGTGAGCATGACAAAGATCGAGAATCTTACATGGTAAGAGGCATAGCAATGACCGAGAATCTTACTCCGTGAGGGAGAGGACTCTTACGCGGTAAGCGCTTACAGGGTAAAAGAATAAGATGTTTACCAGAATCCATTTTGATGAATGTTACCTTATAAGGTAAATAAGGATGATAACTATTCCCTGTAAGTGCTTACTCTGTAAAAGTTTGGTAAATGGCCTCTTAGATATATTTGTTGTAGTGTTGTGTGCACACATCTTGTACTGCTTTCCAACTCTTGTAATTTTATTGTTGTTTAGGATGCCAAGGATAATGATGAACTTGACAATGATGGTCCAAACGACGCTACTTGCCGCAAAGCGTTAGATGCATACCGTCCACCTTCTTGCCATCAAGCATACGTTGGCACAGAAGAATCAACTTCAACACAACCATTACTGTCACCGACTGTGTAGTTGTTTCCGTCGTCTACTTTGGGATCGAGTCGACCCTCCTCGGCTTGCCATCATGGACCAAAATCCAAAGGATCTGATCTTTTAAAACGATGTATTGTACTCTCTTGACCACGTCTGCAATAAAAAGTATGGATCGAGGCCATGTCATCCGCAATACGAAAGTATTGGTGCCTCGGGGATCAAATCCTTTTTATAGCAAGCAAAACCTGAGTCGTCAGATGAAAACGCATAGTAATTGAAGCTGAAAAACACAATATTCAATAAATGGTATTGTTGTTATATATAAAAGTTATAATTTTACTAGTTGTGTACCCATGCAATACAATGAGATGGAAAGGATAACGAGAATTTTGAAGCGTTTATGGTTTTGTTAGAGGAGATTTTTAGGGCATTATGAGGGTAGGGTCTGTTTAGCGCTTGAGGCTTTCCGGCTTATGTCATGTCCTTAAAAAAACTATACAGCTTAAATCATGTCTTTTAAGACGCCGTGTTCTTGCTGCAACTCTTAAAGGCTTGATCTCGTTGTCACGTTACTTTTCACGCCATTTAAAATCTTGCTTATAGGTCATATGACTAATTTTCATGACATGAGAGACGTAAAGAATGTGGGATGACATGTTGCAAATACGATGTGTTTAAGACATCACACGTTTTTGTGAAATCCAACGTAGGGATTACTCCAGTAGACGAAGGATCGTGTGAGAATATGAGTTAAGGTAAGAAGTGTAAGAAGAAATCTGGACCCTTGATCACTTTTAATCTCGTCCCTTCCTTTGAATTGTGATTGATACGAATATTGGTCCGGTGCATTTCGGTGCATATCATTAAGGTGTTGATTCAAGGATGAAGATCTTTTTTTATCTTTCTCACTATAACTTTCATTCTCACCGGAACCTTAGTCCCATCAGATGATTAAGTAATATAAATTCCAATAAACGACTCTTTTCATCTCAGAATAAGTGTCTATATCTTTATTATAGTTTGTCTTGAAATAAGTTTCTATTTTAAAAAATAATTGCTTATTTTCTAGTTTTACCCTTAATTATGAGATAGAGAAAATGCATTATTTCCTTTCTTATTATGGTAAAATTATCATTTTGTTAACTAAAAATTAATAGTTGCATATTTTCAAAATTATATGTTTTTTTTTATTACAGATATTTAGGAAAATTGACTAAAATAGTCAATCTTTCCAACCAACTTCAATTTTTAGCCACTTTTTTAATTGAATTTTCATTTTTAACTAGAGTTTACGCATTTGCGTAAACCTGATTCTCAGATTTAAAGGAAAATATTTTTTTTACGTAAACATTCAAATTTTTGCATAAGAATCCTTACGCGTATGTGTAAGCACCTTTTTTCTTCTTTCACGGATCAAGTTTTACATAAATATGTAAACATTTATAAAGACCGATTATTTTAGAAAGAGGATTTGAAAAATGGTCAAGAAATAAATTTGATTAATTAAATCGCTATTTCAATCAATTTCCCACATATTTATTGTAATGTTTGGTAAAAACATGACTCACTAGACCTTTCAGTCTAACCTTCGATCGTTTGTTAAAGAAAATTACAGGTCAGCTCAAGTAAAAAGATAAAGGCACAAGAAAGATGTAACTGACTGTTGGATTAGTTTTTGATATATCATGAATGTTCAGATCAACTTATCACACATCGATTAATATCATTAAGCCGTAGAGAACAACCAAAAAATCCCTCTAGTCTTGAAAGGACTCGAACAGTCCAACTCAGTACAAGAGAAGAGAAGAGAGAAAAAAATATCTTTTCAACTAAAAGTATGAAATCGTTGAGTACCCAAATTCAAGGTCCAAGTATTTAGTTTCGGTTTTTGAGCCTTTGGGGAGTTTAACGTCGAATCTGGAACAGAAGATGGTTGAAGAGGGAAAGACGAGTTTGAGAAGTAATGATCGTGCGTATTACTTTCGTCTTCCTATAGAAATTAGAGACTAAGGTAGCTATAGCATTATAAAAACACGTGTAAAATTGGACCACAAAAATGCTTTAAGGAGCATCTATTCATGATCACACGTTTAACATGTTGGTATGCATGTTAACAACGTTAATTCAAAGGGCTGGGTTTCAAAATAAAATAAAATAAGAGCCGTTAATGTAATTTAAGAATTTTAGGAAATCAAAATCACAAGGTTGTCGTCTGGGGTCTCGTGCACCAACTCAACTGAAATTCTCAAACAGAATTGTGTTTGGGGGCATGAAATATGCACCCCTTAAATTTTAAGGGGTGTTTCGGGATATTAGAAAATACAAGGGACAAAAAAAACTGGAAAAAAATCAACATAAAAACGGAAAAATTCCAAGGAAATCAACAAAAATTCTATCAAAATAGTGAAATTTGATAAAAACATATCTAATGAATTTAGGATCTTTTAATCCACCTTAAAAACTAGGGGTGTAAACGATACAAGATAACTCGCGAACTACTCGAGATCGACTCGTTCAACACTCGACTCAAATAGGCTCGACTCGAACTCGAGCCCGACTCGACATATTGACGAGTCGAGTCAAGCTACTCAATACTCGACTCGAAAAGCTCGTGAGATACTCGATTGTTTTATATATAATTAGTTTTAAAATATAATCGGTTTTTATGATAAAATTTATAAAATATAAATAATAAAAATTCCTTATATTTTTGTATATTTAAACAAAATTATGTATTTTTTAAATTATAAAAATTGATCAATTATTATTTTTTAATTAAAATCACAATTAAAAAAGACAAAGAAAAACTATAAAAATGTTTTAAAATTTATAAGAGAGAAATTCTAAAATTTCATAAATTTCAATGAGTGAGATTGGTTTAAGCTTGATTCGAGTTTGAGTTCAAACTCGATTTGAGTTGCAGTTCGAGCTTGTTTCGAGTTCGAGTCGAATATAATGATATTCGAGCTCGATTCGCATCATTTACACCCTTATTAAAAACCACGGTAGCTGTTTGGTTTAGAATGGAATCAAATTCTAAACCAAAATCAAACGGTGTCGGATCTTTTATGGGTATATATTCGTTTGTTTCAAGATTCGACTTCATCTTTTTCCAAGAACTAAATATGAATCTTGCCCGCTATAAAAACCCACCTCATTTCATCCAATAATCAAACCCATCTCTCTCTTTCTATCGATTTTCATTGGTTGAGCTTGGTTAACAAAGTTAACACAATAATCTTGGTTAATATTTGAATCAAATTATATATATATATATATATATATATATATATTTTGATATATTGTTTTAAGTAAGAAGACGAAATGCCAGAGTTAGCAGGGGACGAAAGTTGTCTTCTTCGAGTGGGTTACGCATTACCTGCAAGAAAAATTGAAGCTTTCATGGTGCCGGAATTCATCAACTACGCCAAACAACGTGGCATTCATTTCTTCCCAATTGATGTTTCCAACCCACTCACAGACCAAGGTCCCTTCGACTGCATCATTCACAAGCTTTACGGCCATGAATGGAACCTCAATCTCCAACATTTCACCATCAACCACCCTAACGCCACCGTCATTGACCCTCCCTCCGCCATCCAACGCCTGCACAACCGCATCTCCATGCTCGAACCCATCTCTCAACTTGCCATACCTCATCTCAACATCCCAAACCAGATCCTTGTTCCAGATGTTGTCTCTTTAACCTCTCTATCCGCCATTAACGATCTGAGTTTTCCGGTGATCGCAAAACCGCTGCTTGCTGACGGGGGCTCCAACGCCCACGATATGTCGTTGGTCTTCAATAACGAAGGGTTAACCAAAGGGTTCGAACTCGAACCGCCCATGATTCTCCAGCAGTTTGTGAACCACGGCGGGGTCATCTTCAAGGTTTACGTCGCCGATGACTATGTGAAGTGTGTGAAACGGAGCTCGTTGCCGGATGTTTCAGAAGAGACGATGGAGAAGATGGGATCAGAATGTGGTGGGGTTATGAAGTTTTCTCAGATATCAGGTGCTGTTACGTCAATGTCAGGTGATGAGAAGGTAACGATGCCGGCGCCGGAGTTCATTGAAGCGGTGGCGGAAGGGCTGAGGGTGGCGCTTGGATTACATCTGTTTAATTTCGATATGATTAAGGATGATAAACGAGATGAGTATTTGGTGATTGATATCAATTACTTTCCTGGATACGAGAAATTGCCTTGTTATGAAATGGTGATGACTGAATTCTTCTTGAAGATCAAGGAATCACAGGAGAAGAAGAAGATGACGACGAAGGTTGATCAAATACTTGATAAACATCTGTCGTCTCAAAATTCAGAGTCACTTTCGAGTCCAACGATCATGTAAAGTCAGATAAATTATTTATTACACAGAGAATAAAAAATTGAATTAAATAAACCGATGACATGTTTTGACATGAATCGTGGACAGGAAAATGATATTGTAGTTTAAAACAACGGATTTTTGTTCTCAATCCGAACGAAACGAGAGGTTGGTAGTCTCAGATATATAACTGGACGATTGTTCTGTCACAAAACTGCTAAATATCTGATAATAATACTTTTTAATTAGAGGTTGTAATATTGTTTCATGTTTAACATGACTTTTATACGAAACAAATAGGAATATATGGAATCAGTGTGTTCCAACTCACCCCGTGGAATAAGATGGAACAAACCTATATGGGTGTTTGACATTGGTTATAAAATAATTGATATGATTAATATTATTATAAATAATTAATATTAATGTATATTGTCTAATGTCTAATGTATAATTAATAATTAAATTAATTAATAGCTAATATTTATTAGTATAGTAATGATTTATTTTATTTAATAATTATTAATAAAGTAATAATTATTTTTATATATTTATTAATATTAATTAACATTAGTTAATATTTATTTATTATTAATAGTAATAAATAATAATTAATATTAATGATGGTTATAATTGGAAAAAGTAACAATATGCTCCTAAAACGCTACTTCAAGTAGCGTTTCAATAAGTTAGCTTATAAACTATAAGCTAGCCTATAATTATCCAAACATATACCCAAAAAATAAGCTAACTTATTTTTGTCAAATGATACATGATAGAAATAATTTTTTTTTATTAACACGGATATCCAACCCGTTAGGCGAGCCGATTAATCCCAAGACGATCACATGTTTTACGGATAGTCCGGAGTCACCGCATTTGAAGCTCCATGCCACAAGGGGATTTTTATTCTTCCTTGGATTTGAACCCGAGACCTCCAAACACTAATCTTAGGACGACCACCTGCTTTGCGGGTAGCCCAGAGTCACCATATTTGAAGCTTCGTGGCCATAAAGAGATTTTCATTCCTCCTTGGATTTGAACCTAAGACCTCCAGACACTTTTGACCTTTAGAACCCAAACTCAAACCAATCAAACACCACCTTTGTGTTTAATTTTATTAAATTAATGCATTGGATATGTTAATAGTACAATTAATGTTATAATTTCTAAAATGAAACAACTATATATGTTTGACAAACTAGTTGAAAAATCTAGTTGTTAAGTGATAATCAAATATTAATTGAAAAATCAACTAATAAACTGGTCATTGGTGGTAAAACCAGATAATAAAGCATATGATAATGTAAAATAATTATATGCTGAAAATTTAGCTGAAAAAAATAATACAAGGGGCATAGTTGGAAGAAAAAAATGAAAAAAAAAACACAAACTTATCGAAACACTAATCAAATATATATGATTTTTTCATAAAGCTAACTACCAAATAGACAAACAGTGATTTTTTAAATAAACGAGTTTATAGTTGTCAAAAACGCCCTCCTCAAGTGATAAAGTCTGCGAGTTGGCACATGTGATTACCAAAAACCGATGAAAATTGGGTCCAATGTTTTGCCTAGGGGTGTGTACCATCAATACCTTTTCGTCAGCTAGCTCCAGACCCTGTAATTCATCCTGGTCCAAAATTGATATGCGGTCGAAAGTTTGTACGTTTTCCCTCTCACGATTCATGTTCTCGTCGTTCCTATTTGTTTAGTATCAATCGTTGAACCGAACCCAATCCACGGGTACCCTGACTAATGACAAACAGAAACCACCACATGTCCTCGTTTACTATATGCACATCATCAAGTCCCGTTAAGGTGTGTTTCTTGATCCAAACGGAACCATGTTCCCATACTGCTATAATTCTGATTTTGTGCATCAGTATTTTTACGATTACAACAGTGTTTGGTCACATATCAATTACTTCTTTTTGTAAAGCAGTCAAGATACATGTATTTTTATATTGAATTAGCTTCGCCCAATGGTTTGAACAGAAGGTTATGGATGGTCCACACAACACGATGCGAATTTTCTATTGCTAGTGGAATACTTAAATATAATGGGAATCTTATTCCAAAATTTGACGGGACATCCCGTTACATTCCGATCCTTTTAGGTTTTTCCTAGGGTTTCTTTTATGTGTCGTACAAATATACCATATTTATTCCAAAATTGACTATTAACGAAACACATGGCGTCCAAGTCCCATCGTTTTCACGGTGCTTGACATTAGATGCAAACATTAATCTTAAGGAATCAACTGCTATACATATCGACTAGAGCGCAAAATCCATCGAACCACATGTATGTCAAAAAAGGCATTTATAAAAAGTAATCCAACAATTAAATAATATATTTAATTTATTTATAATATTTATTTACTAGTATTATCAATGAATATTTGTGATTAATGGTTTGCAAAAAAAAAATATAATCTAAGGTGCCGTTTACTAAACACTTACTTGGTAAGTGCTTAACGTCATAAATTTTTTCATTGGATGAACATGAGAAGTGCCAAGAATCTTATCAGGTAAGAGATATGAGAATGATGGAAGAGTTTTACCCGGTAAGTGAGGATGGCGACTCTTATCCAGGCAAGCGCTTACCCAGCAAATTGTTGCATTCGATATGTTTTGATGTACTATAATCTTACGCATCAAAATAAATTATAGTGTTAACTCCTGTTGGTAAGCGCTTACCGGGTAAACGACTCCTAAGAGTTGTGTACACTAAATGGCAGAGTTATAATTGTTGCCAAATAGGTGTATCTTTAAAATGGATCAAAAATCTGCAAAATCGTCATATATGTTTTTAATCAAATTTCACTGTTTTGATGGATTTTCTTTTTGATTAATTATCAATGATTTTCTAAGTTTTTTTAATTAAATTTAAATAATTCTTTCTATTTTTTGATTGATTTTCCTTGTATTTTCCTTATAATTCTGCCCCTTTTACACTTGAAATAAAATAAAAAAACGCATTTTATTCAAATTAAAATATAATATAAAGTAAATTATAAATTTCGTCCTTATGGTTTTATAAAGATTACAAATTGATCTTTAACTTCAAAAAATTATGAAAAAGGCCTATGATTTCTGTTTTGGTTATATATCCGACGAGAAAACGACCATGTCCATCTCTGACCTCCTCTTCTTTTTCTTCCTCATATTTTGGCCTCTCTTTTCTCAGGTCTTCTCCTCTTTTCCAGATCTAAAATCCCCGACACATCTATTTCAAATCTAGATATAAAAGCCTGCATCCGATAATAGTGGATCTGAGACAGGGGGAAGAACCAGGACCGAAGGCAGACTACCACTACCAAAAAAACCCCTTTTTCCGGCGGCCAAATCCGCCGGAAATCCGCCGGTGATTTTTTCTGGCCGCCGGAAAAAGGGTCGCCGGTGATTTTTTCTGGCGGTTTTTCCGGCGGATTTTCCAAGTTTCCGGCGGA